AACAAGAGATAAGAAAGAGGGGACCAGAGACTGACATCTGACTGTAAGGCATAATGTAAGCATAACACATGATTATTGCTGATTAAAATCTCTTGAAACAGAAAAAGGTCCTATCTTCTTGGTAAAAGCTTGGATTTAATTAAGATTTTCTTAAGAAAAGAGAGGCTATCAGTATTATCAAAAGTTCTGAAGTCATTGTCTTACAATAAAATGAAGAAAGATATAGAGACCTGCTGGGTAAACAATTAATTCTTCCCTACCCCAATCTCTCTGATCTTAAAACATTTCCTAGGAGGAGACAGTCCTCAGTAGGATGGTAGGAACTTACTACACAGAACTACAAGAGATTTATGTGTTATTTACAGAGAACCACAACAAAGATGAATGACCCAAACACAATTTTCCTTTCCAGTCTACTACAAACAAGAGAAAATAAATGCAGATAGTATTGTGAATTACATTCAATATGTCACCTGCTATTTCACTGAAAGTCTGGGAGGCCTCAGCAGAGGCTGCCACAATAGCTTTTCACTGGCTTTTATGAGCTCAGTGCTGAATTCAGTCACTGAATTTGTCCAGTTCCTGGGGGCATACAGTCCCATCAGCTTTCTGAAAACAGCCTATTTTTAAACACAAAGCAAAGTCAACGAGGACAACTCCAACAATATTTTTTTAATGTTTACAGTAGAATATGCCTAAATTTAGACCACCAAACCAAGCATAATATCAGAAGCATCACAAATAATTCTAAGGATTTTCTTTTGAAACACCATGACCTCTCTCACCAGTTACTTTCAACACAGAAATTTGAACAGCACCTAGGAAAGACTGGAAATAGATGTTCATCCATGTCAAACAAAAAAATGCACAAGGCAGAGCAATTAGTCCCAGCGGACCAGTAGGACCCCTAAGAACAACTAGCTCATGACGAAGATGAGTTTTCTCACCTCTTAAGCATCAGAAGTGTGGAAATGCATTGTGATTGTTTCAGACAACACTGTCCAGAGAAGAACAGCACCAACCGTGATAATTTAGTTGGCAACCGTGTCAGAAAGTGCAGAGGGAGCAGGTGGCCAAGAGCCCAGAGCCACTGCCCTCCTTCCTCTGCCAGCACCACAGCAAACTGCCAAGTTAGAAGTTACCTGCTCCTCAACCCTACTGCTTCTCCCTTCTCCCCAGTAGTATTAGTGTGACTCATGTGTTTATCCCTAAACACCTCCCTGCCCTCACACGTGCTCGGTAAAAGGCGGTGGTGGAGGGTGCAAACGCAAGGGGCAGCACCGCGGCACTGAACAGCTCCTGGTCCTGCTCCACCCAGTGATGCCCCCCAAGGGGAAACGGGCGAATCTCACGGATCTGACACATTTATCCCTCACATTTAAGAAAGAAAAAAGATATTAGGAATATTTAAACGAACTTCTCTTAGGTGTCTGTGCAGTACATCTCAGCATGAGAGTTTAAATGAACTTTGTCACAAACAGTCATCCTTCTGAAAGCATCAGAGCTCAGACTTCAAGTCTATTTAAACTTTCAATTCACAACTATCAAAACTTGTTTTTAACTTCAACGTGAAGTTTCAGGGCACTGCTCTTATAAGAAAGAAGAAATCCGACTGAAAAACAATCAACGCTTAAAGATATGAAAAGTGAATAACACAGTAGAAGAAATTTCTCTTGCTCAGCCTTGAATTCAAGGAAGCTGCACAATCAGCTAGAGAGTTCAAAGACACTCATGCAGAAAGCGTCAAGCACAGAAAAACAAGGTCTAACAAAAAGCGCTTCAGCAGTTATCAGAAGAGAAAATGCTGAAAGTGGTGCTTCATTCAAGTTATGTTTAAATTTTTGTCTTTTTTGCAGCAGTGTACTAGGTGAAAAAAGGTTTTCCTTCCCAGACCAGCCTGTGAAACCCACACAGCATTGCTGTGCCTCCCGTCCATCTCCCGCACTGGGGACTTTTCAAACGCACTCGCCCCAAAAGTTACTCCAGATCTGAACTTCGGCAGAGAGCGGGCAGAGCACCGCGACACGGCGGTGTGTGTGTGTCTGCGGGAGCCGCCAGCTGCCGGGGGAACGGGCAGCGCCGGGCCCGGCTCGGGGCGGTCCCGGGACCAGAACCGGAGCAGAACCGGGCCGGGCGGGGTGTTGGACACGCGTGTGGAGAGCCCCCGAGACCCGGGCGCGGGTCACTCACGGTCTCTGGAGCGGCTCCTCGGGGAGGGCAGCGGGGCCCTGCTGCTGCTGGAAGGAGCGCAGCGACTCGAAGGCCTTCGTCAGCTTCTCCATGGTGGCCATGTCCGCTCCGCCCGCGCCGGCGGCACCGGCCCGCGCTCCGACCCGCCCTGTCACGGGCGCCTGGCGGGTCCGAGTGCTGTCCCGCTACCGCTGGCGCTGCCCCCGGGCTCGCTCCCGGCGCTCGGCCGGCGCTCTGGCGGGCCCCGGCCCGTCACAGCCGCGATGAATGGAGCAGGCGCCGCTCGGGGCCGCGGACGCTTCCCGTCCGCCCCGCCGCCATCTTGATCCGTCCCGTCGGCCCCCGCGCGCGGGCCCCGCCCCCGGGGCTGCCCCGCCCCTCCTGGAGCCGTGCCGCGGCTCGGGGCAAGACCGCGCATGCGCACACGGCACCCCCGGCCCGGCGTCACGCGCGCCTGTACGTAGGAACACACAGGGGAACGCGGGCAGAGAAAGGGGCGGGGCAGCGACGAGAGCGACAGGCGCTCAGAAGGAGGCTCCGCCCATCGCCGCGTGCTGGAGCGGCTGTGCGCTGCTGTGCGGCGCCCCCTGTCGGCAGCGGCCGTGGCGCCCGGGCGGTCGCGCTCGGCTCCGGGCAGGACCGGGCAGTGCCGGGGGCGCCGCGGGCGGGGAGCCGGCCCTGGGAGCCCATGGCAGCCCCTGGTTCTCAGCCGCACCGCACGGATCGCCCCAGCAAGGCGGGAGCAGCCGCTCTGTGGCCGCACGTCACGGGGCATAGCGGGTAACGCGCCAGCCCCCGCAGCACAAGCGGCGGCCAAAGGCGCTGCCGGCGCTGCTGTTTTATTTTAGGCTGCGGAGACTCTTGCAGGAACAGGACACTTAAAACTTGGCAGCGTAAGTGCTGCCCTTTCAGCCTCCTCTCCTGAGTGGGGACCTGCTTCATCAGAGGATACTTCTTGCGCACACATATTAAACATACAGGATACAAGAGAGACAGTATAGAATATTTAAATCGTTGATTCCATTACTAAACACTTAGAAAAAATCAACAGTACGATGAAGTTTCCAATTGCGACCACTAATTTTAATATATCTACTTGTTGATACAGACATTAAATGACAGCTGATAAGAACTGGCAATTCAACTTATCTCACACACATGAAACTGGTTCCAGCAATAAAAATGGAGAACACCTCTTAGAAATTCTAAGAAATTTCCAGTAATGCAACTTGGTTGAATTAACATGAAGGAATGAAGCAAAGCTTATGTCCCTGAATATTCAGGCCGACAGAAGTCATAGCTAACATTCTTGCCAAATATTCACTAGAGCAGTGCTCTCTCTGCCAGTTAACTTTATTAGCATGTTAATAAAAGACAAACCATTTGAAACAGTCCTCTGAAAGGAAAACTATCCTTAGTCCTGAAAGCAGTTCAACTTAAAGCAAAACATTATTTCACTATAGAAGTGCTACAAAATGTGAGCTCTTAAGGTAAGACCAGTATTTCTCCCGATTATTTTATCATAAAGCTTGCAGAAACGTTTCTCTGGAACATGTGGATAATCATGAATTTTTTATTTAGCAAATGAGACATGATAAAAGATGACAGCAGAGTTGGAACGCTGCACACTCTGTGCATGTGGCACTCCACACTTTGAAATAAATTTAAGCACAGCAAAAAGAGCATCAACTCTTATCAAAGATTAAACGAGCCATCAAGCAAGCCAGGCCTTGCAAGGCTGTTGTGAAGCTTTGGATCAGAGTGTGCGGGTCCCCGTGGGCTGCTGACTCACCGAGGCAGTGCCTGCCCACAAGCTCGCTGCTCTTTGTTCTCCCTGCCTGAGCTCTAGCGGCCCAGAGGCTCGATAGCTGAGAGCTGACTGGGAGGTAACTCAGGGTATCAGATTTTTCTTTGGTCAATACCTTATCAGTAGGTTCTCCTGGCCCAAACTGATCCGTGGTTTTGCGTGGATCATGTCACTGATCTGCCTCACAACACCTGCACTGGCAAAAATAAAGCGATGTAAACCAGGCAAGGGGCAAGAAAACACAAGGCAGGATTAGAGAACAAGCATTTTTGTAAAGTCGGTGTTGCCACGAAGAAAAATGAAGTTCCAATTAACAGTGCATATCTAAAAGATGATAATCTGAAATTTAGGGGATGACAACTAATTAATCTCAGCCTCCAGGAGAAAAAGAAACATGCTCTTAACTTTTCTCCTAAGTTACATCCTGATTTAATGTTTTTAAGATGAGCATGTCAAGAGTATTTTTCACCTTATCCTGAAGTGTCACTTTGGCCAGCATTTCTGCATTTCCATGAACAATTCAGCAGGTACTTGGTCCCACTCCATGAGACTTCAGGAGCAGTCTCCGTGGCCCACTGGTTTGGCATATGCACGGACAATCTGCAATATGTCACAGCCTGGCTGTGTCTTTTTAAGGTCATTTAATTTGAAGCCCTTTTGGAGAGCATTTGGGGGCTTTGTCCTTCAACTCATGTTATAAAATTACAATAAATGTGCAAATGAAAAACAGCCCATGCCGATAATTCAGTCTTTTCACATGGAAATTTATGCAGAAGATCCAGACCATGAGATAAGGTATCAATTGAGCCAGTGCAGCAGAACTAGGGCATTTTTTCCTGGATTCAACTATCTTACATTGGTAAAAAGCTTACACTATGCAGGAGACATTTTCTGCTTCAACAAATTGGAAATTTATTTTAATTACAATTTTCTTTTTTTTTCCTTTTTCTATCCCAGCTACCACAATAGACATGGTAAATAAATCACATTAGACAGTAATACATGTGGTTGAGATATGTGGCAGTGTTTTGCTTTTATTTCAGGAATTACAATGCTAGAACGTCCAGGAAAACAGCTCACACAAGAACAGTCAGTGGTTTGGAGATGCTGGAAGTAACACATCACATTTAACAGTCAGCTTCCTATGCCTGGAAAGAATTCTGGTGGTTTGGACATGTCTGAATCATGGAAAAAAGTTACCTACATCTCATGTGCAAAATTTAAGTTACACCACAAGAACAATTATGAAATAAAAAAGAATGTTTCATTCAACAGAAAATACATCATCATCACCAAATAAGCCAAGTGAGTAATTAAAATAAAAGTAAATATGACTTCAGCTTAAAGATGCTTTCCAATAATTCAAATTTAACTTCCTAAAGAGAAGTGTTTTCTGAAAACCTATACTAAAATGAAGATGATAATTCCAATGTTAAATTCATATAATATAAAGTGTAAACCATAGAAAAATATTACTTTTATTGTCATATTTTAGTAACTTGTAAACAAGTATTCTCCATTCATACAAATGGCAATGAGGAAATTCTTACATCAGTGTAGTCTGAAAAATAATTGAAGTGTATTCTAAGAATGGGTTGTTAGTTGGTTTTAATTGCATTTATATTATATTTGCTTATATATTTGATTTATAAACCAGATGATTTTATTCTGTTTTGGAGATAATTCTCTTTCATACTCAAAACCATTCAGGACTACTGTTTTAAGGATGATTTGGGGGAAAAAAAAGAGAGACAAGAGATATTAAAGGCTAAGGTTTGTCAATAACACTCTTGATACAGACATACCACAGGGGTTTTTTTCCTACTTACTATTAGTTTTAAGTGCTCCTTTTTTCAGCTGAGACAGTTCTGTTGTTTTTATAATAAGAAACAAAACCATCTCTATATTTTGAACACACCTCAGGGGGCAGGGAAAAGCTGACAGCTTTCTTACTAGAAAAAACAACCCTGAGGCATGAAGATTCTATTCTTCTGGTCACAACATTGAAAAGCATTAAGTAAACCAATAAGACACTGGTACATTGTTTCACAGTTTCTGAATTTTGAGCTAAATAGAGAGGTTTGAGGTACTCACAAGCAAACATGAAGATTTACATACACAAATGCTTGGAAACACACACCACAGGAAAGGAGGGTTGATCTCATGCAAACAACTCCGTGGAATTCCATAGGTCTTTCCAAATCTTGCAGCAGTAGAACATTGGGTTGTTAGAGCCTTCTAACACAGGGGTCTAGAGAATGCTGAATTACAAGAAGTTATGTTGGCTTCCCCCATCCCATCCCAACAGTTTCATGTAGTAAAAGGCTACATAATCTGTGAACACAACCTGGTATTTTGCCCCCTTTTGTCCTAAAAAAAAATCAAGATCTGAGTTCATATTAAATTTCTCACACTGTGATATTTTGCTTTCAGGTGTTCTCCCCTGTCCTTAGCCTTTCCCTGCTTTCAAGATGCACCTCCCAGCTCCTTATACTCCAGAGAAGGCCTTTAACCAATGGAGTCACCTTAGATTGAACAGCATAACATCTTCCCCTCCATGTGCTGTGTAAGGAGACTTATGCTGATTGCTGAGCCTTCCACTTCCTTGTTTTTTTCTGATTTTCCAGGGGATTCACAGCAGATGAGATGCAGTCATTATTATATGCTTGTATTTCTAGCCAAAAAGGATAAATTTATAGGACAATAATGCCATCTTGAGCCTATTGGGGAAGAACCAATCAACTAACCAAAAAAAACCTAACCCCAAACCCAATGGAATTAGATCATAATCCTGCCAACATGTACTCACTCAAAACAATTCAATAGTAGTATTCTGAACTTAAGAAAAAATTTATGAAATTAAACTAAGAAAAACATCATAAAAACAAACAAATTCTCACTTTTTTACAAGGAGTTCCTTTTTCCAAAGAAGCAGACATGTAAATAACCACTTCTTAGGAACAATTTCCCTTTTCATTTAGCCCTCTTTCTTCACAGATTCCTGGAAAATATATGTTAACCCTCAACACTCCAAAATAGAGAAGTGATTTTTATTTTTTTTAAGATTCCTCTCCATCCCATACAGAAAGAAAACTTGAAATACATGATAAATAGACTTTCAGATTTTTTTTAAATCTGTTAAAACCAATTTTCTTCACAAAAATTTTTCTTCATAAGAATTATTCAGCTTGTGTCTGTGGTATTCTTGCCCAAATTTCAAGTTACCCTACACAGACATTAAATCCAGACTGTCACCCTGCATGTCTGCTGTTTATACAGTCACCTTTGCCTCAGAACAGCAAGCCTAAGATCTTAAAAATTCAAACCCCTTCATCGGGGAAACGATGACTTCTCCAACCATGTAGGTATTTATAAAACCCTTCTGTGGCTTCTCCATTTTTCCATTCCCCTCTTTTTAGAGTTCTTCTATTGCTGTGGTACAAAATAAAGAGGGTCAGGTCAGACTGCCAGCTCATTGTCTCACACATAATGGTTCTAGCCAACACCCTTACTTCAGATATTTCTGTCAAGTCTCCCATCCCTTCACTATTACATCAGACCATCTTCCAGTAATTCATTCAAACTCTCTCTCCCTCTGCCAATTTCTCCCTTTGTACTCTCTAAAAGAGTAATTTTGCTGTCTTGTGTGCTGTTTTAGACTGGAGGAAAAATGCACTGAAAACACAGGAAAATAGGCTCATTCCTCATTTCTGTGGCACAGTAGTCAAGAGGAACAATTTCAGAGAGACACCAGATGAGCCCCAGTAGGGTTCTGCAACACACTGGTTTTCCAATTTTTTCAAATTCTAATCCATTAAAACTTTGTCTTTAGAGACTAAATACTGTGAATTAAAACCTGATGATGGGCTTGAATATCAAATATATCTTGTGAGTTTCTCAGAAGCAAGTGAAGTTTCTTCCAGTGGGTCTGCAGATCACAAGAGGGACCTTTTTGAGGTGGGGGTGCTATTCAGTTGCTGTGTGTGTACAATACATGTGTGGTCCAGTTGGTGCCCCAGTGAATACATGCACAGTTGAGACAAGTCTTGAGAATACAGAACAAAATATGAAACTAAAATCATGTCTCCAACTCCATTATATTTCAAGTATCCAATCCAAAACAGAAGAGGCTCTTAATGAAATGTGCTCTTTAAATTGACTCTCATACCCAGATGAAGTTTTACTACAAGTTTACATAATAAAGGGTCTGACCTACAGTGAGTCCAGAAGAATGGAAGTGTGCCTAGCTTTCAAGCAGCTTTTGTCAGTTTTACTAATGGACATCAGGTAAACATAACAAACTTCAATACCAGTTCCACATCTGTATTAAGCAATCGTTAAAAACATATTTTAATGTTTTTGTTTTAAAAGGCTATAAAAATACTTACATAATTAAATTCAATACTTAATGCTACCTTGCCCTTCCCCCAGTGGCATTGATCACTGTCAACCCTAGAACATTGCATATTACAACATAAGCAGAGAGGACATTAGTAAGAAGAGCCCATGCTTTGTTTTTTAACCCATTATAAAACCATAACATCCTACATGGAGTTAAAAACAATTCCATTTACAGAAAATAAAAGAAAAAAAAACTGTGTCCCCACAGGTAAAAAGAAATCGTTTCATTAAAGACAACAAAATTTTGAAAATATAGTTATAAAATTTTGGCATAGGTCAACTTGCATGGTTCATGCCAAGAAACTCTGTGGAGAGGATGTGTAAGATGGGTAGGAAAGAGAAGAATGGGATACTTCAGTTTGAGGATTAAGCTAAATGTTCAAAGTTCTCTTTATACAGAAATACAGAAAGAGATTCTACAGAGCCTGATAATAAAGAGCAATTCCTAATAGCTGGCCAGAGTGCACAAAATTCCTTTTTTTCTCTTAGCAGTTGCTTGAGAGATACATTAGGTAATAGCACTGCCATGCTGCTGGATAATACCAGAATTATTAAATTTATCAGTACATCAATTTTACCATTAAGAAAATTGCTAATAAAGATCCTAATGATCAAGAAGAGTTTTACCAGGAGCATACAAAGTCAAGTTACAGTGATGCCATAGATACTATCTCTGTGCTTTAAAATCCTTTTAGTATTTCTAGATTCATTCCACTGGGAAAAAATAATCAAGATAAATCAAATACATACAGAAACACACTCACTCAAATGGCACTCATTGCTTTTTGTACAATTAAGCTTTAGTGAAAATATACATCTTAAAACAAATGAAGTACAAATGTACAAAAATCCTTGAACTCAGATAAAAAATATATATAATACAATTTGCTACAGAGATATAAAACATTTAATGCTTGCTCATCCTTTCTGATGAGCATAAAATGATTTAAAGTCTGGAGGACTCCTGCTCATCATCACTGCAATCAGACTTAAAGCAGACCTGCAAGAGAAGACAAACAGACAACTCAGCTGCAGAATTGATACTATTGTTCATTTGTGTGTTTTATGGGGCACAGAAAGGCTGGGGGGTGGGTATTTTTCCAGCACATTTTACTCCATCCTAAGTAAATGCTTTGGAAAACTCAAAGGAATCCATAATCTCAAGCCCAAATCTCAAATTGTTAAAATTCAATTAAAGTTCTTTCCTTCTTTTAACTTCACAAGACAATTAACTGCAATCCTATTAGTTCAAAACCAACTGAAAACTGTCAAACCATATTCATTTCTTAGGACTTCTTCTCAATACATAGAACCATATCTTGGGACAGGTACAAATCCTGCTGATTTTTGGTTGGAAAAGACTACAGTAAGGCACAAGCTTTAACTTTAGCTATGTGAGAATATCAGTACACTCAACCATCCCTTCTATTCCATTAGTCAAAGTGGGGGGAAAGTGTATTTGAAAGGATGAACTAAAAATGACAGGACTATTATACATTCCATTAGCATTGTACCATTTTAGAAAGGTGAATTGCCAGCTGAAGACAAAAAAATTCTTCATGCAATTTTAATACACAGCCTTGCTGTGGCTACTTAACAATATGCACCTAGCAATTTTAAAATTCCATTTCTGCTTGAAAGCAAAAGTAATTTCTACCCAAGTGTTCACTATTGGAATATACTCAAGCTTCTCAAGATATTTCCTCTCTAAGTGCAGGCACACTGAACAGGCAGAATTGTATATAACATTTTCAACTGCAAACCTTTACAAATAGTCTATTTCTTATATCCTCTAGACAATTACAATACATGATGTGTCTTCTAGGTGGTAAATACTCAATTCTCTGAACAGGAAATTCTTCTACTAAAGAGTAGAAGTCTGTGTGTAAGAAAAGGCTGTGCATTATCAGCTATGTAAAGATCTATTATGTCATTGTTTTGGTGAAGGCATTCAACTGCCTAAGATATTTTAACATTAGTTTCATGGTGCTTCTCATTTATTTTGGGGATATTTCTACTTATTTACTTATTTATTGGATACTTATTTTTGCTTATAAACTTACTACTTATTACTAGTTTTACACAGGACCTCAATTATCTCTGAAGACATGGACACAGGTTTCATTTAAAAATGGTAAAATATATAAGAAGCAAGACTCAAATTAAGCTCTTTAGCAAAGGAAGGTCTAGAGAACAGTTTTTAACAGAACCCAGGTAACTAGAGGAGGACAGAATGCTGAGGCAGGAAAGCCTCCTGTAGTTCTAGGGATTGCCATAATTTCTGAAATGTGGTGGAGGTGCAAAGCCATTACAAACCAGATTTCATTAGTTTCACTATGCAGTGAGCAACTTGGTTTTCCTATCACAAATTAATAATAATAACAAAAGAATGGAAATTAATTTAATGAAAGAAAATAAATGCCCTTACCTCTCCACTAAAAAGTCTGTGAAAGAAGCCTCTCTTTGGCTTAGGAGACTTCTCTCTGTCTGGTGACACAGTACCATCAGTTTCATATGCATTGATATCTTCAAAGCATCCCGTTTCAATCATCTTTGAAACATATGAAATATAAATGAAATATCCATAAAAGCCTCTCAAACAAGTTGCAGGTATTACCTATGTACTCTGGCTGAGTACTCCTAACACTTAAAAATTCATCAGCCAAACTACACCACTGTCTCCAAAAGGAAGCACAAAGCTGACATTGACTCTCCTTGTGCACTCAACCAACTAAAGAATAGCAATGAGAGCACTCTCACACAGGTGTCAGGTACTCCCTTGCCTTTTTTGCATTCTTGCCTTTCTTATGCTCATGATGCAATAAAGAGAAGCTTTTAGAACCAGAAACAGATTTTCCTTTCAGGTATTCTGTTCATTTTAGAGCAGGCCAGCCAAAAAAAATGAAATATCTCTATGCCCTGGACTGAATTAATAAACATGACATGGGAGGAAAAAAAAAGATATAATGAAGATGGGTCTCTGGAGAGAAGCAAAGGATTTTGAAATAATCTTTGTCTGTGTACACAGAAACAAAAGAAATAAAACCACAATTACTGGGTACAGAAAGGACACCAGGAAGAGAGAATGCCAAAATACAACCAACAGGCAGGGTCAGACGGGGGGGAGTGGCTAATGGCCAAATCCAGCTGGCATTTACCAGTAAGTGCCACCAGTACACATCTGTCACAGCAGCTGGCAGCCAAAGGAATCACAGAATCACTGGGTTGGAAGAGACCTTCAAGATCATTGAGTCCAACCCAGCCCTAATTAAACCTCAACTAAACCATGGCACCAAGTGCCACATCCAGGCTTTTTTTAAGCACATTTAGGGATGGTGACTCCACCACCTCCTCGGGCACACCATTCCAGTAATTTATCACCCTTGCTGTAAAAAACTTTTTCCTGTTATCCAACCTATATTTCCCTTGGTGCAGCTTAAAACTGTGAATATACCTTGTAGAGGGAGAGAGGGCATAAAGAGGAATAAGAAGAAATGCAGCCTGCTTTTGTTGTAAACCAGGACACTGGGTAAATTATGGAATGGTGAGAGAAAGCCTTGAGAGGCAAAAATTTCAGGGAAAGCTCAGTAACATGAATTAAAAGAAAAAATAAGCACAAATGTACAATGAAATCTGCAGTTCTCCCTTGAAGAAAAGGAATTGCCATCACAAGAATTCTACAACTACTTCCAACTTTAACCCTCTCTGCAGGGTTAGTTATTAAGCTGCAGTGCATTTTTTAATGACTAGATCATATTCTGAAGTTTAGAATTACAACATAGTATAGGAAATACTTCTTTCTCCAAGGCTCACTGTTTCTCAGTGAAAGCTCTCTATGTCAAATGGCACCTTTTCAAATATCCTTAATGTAAGGCAAAAAAAACCAAAAGGAAAACAGAGGGGAATGTACTTTTTCCTCCAAGTTATTCAGAAATTGCTCATCTTTTGTGTTCAAGCTTTAAATAAAATGCAATCATACTGGGAGAGAAATGACATTAGTAGAATTCAAGACAATAGTAATTTCAGAAAGTCACGAATAAATTATAATGGGGACAAGGCATTCATAACAAGAACTACAATTTTAAGTAATTGTTACTGAGTGCTCTTGCTGAAACAGTAAAATAGATTTGAATTGCATGCAGAGGCAGCAGAATTCTAGTACTCTATGCAGACTACTAGAATATTCATTCACCAGGCACACAAAACACTCTTAAGGGAAAGTCTGACTCAACTGATATTGAACTGTTTGTTTGGAAACCTTGAAAAAGGTGAGTCTGCAGTTCTGTATTGCTGTCACTTGGATACTCTATTGATACACAGGCTATACACAAGCAGCTTGCACTGCACCTCTTTGCTTTTGAACACTTGGAATAACATTGCATCCCTCTCCTGTGAACAGCAACAGTAACAATACTGAGTAACATGGGACTGAAGAGCAAGGAAAGGGTGGTCTTACAGATACTAATACTGTTCTGTAAGCTGTGCCTATGATGACAAGATGCCAGACTTTGTTTATGCAAATTTACCATAAATCTCAGTTTTTAGCAAGTTCCTTATGTTTTTGGAAAAAAAAAAATTAAGCCTCTCAGCAAAGAAGTCTAAAGCAGAAATGTCTTTACATCTCCTAGAGAAAATCATTATAATTATATATTTTATTAAATATTCTATACTGCTGTACTAAAGAAAAGAATCTTTTATGAAATGCGCATTACCTCATTTTGCCAAGGGATTGAGACACAACCCGTCACAAATTTGGAATAGAAGTCATCATCTGTGGTATCCAGGTTCACTCCTTTCACTGTTGAGAACTGCTCAATGTCCAGGACATCTTTACAATAAACGGCACGTGGCTGCAGTACAAGACAAGATTACTTCATTAAAGTTTTGGATCTGGGCACTCTTAGTTTGCTTTTATTTTCTCTAGATGAGCAAAAGAGAGCAAAATGTCTGCAATTTTACATTTCACACTGCTGATCACCAAATTACATTATTCTATGGAACAGAAATACAAAGATGCTCTTCATAAGTAACCTGAGCAATTCTATCCATCCTGCAAGTAAGAGAAAAGAAATATCAAAGCCAGAAACAGCTTGTCTGGATCTCAATGATTATCATAATTCACTCATCTTCTGTCACCTTCCTTTCAACTCTGGAATATTTCCTTCAAAGCTATTCCTCATTTCTTCTGCATCTGAGCAATGGAAGGGGACTTTTATGGGGCAAGAAATCAGCTACAAAGCTCCCTAGGGAAATACCACTATTGTAAATTGTTTTGTGATCTCAGATGAAACACCACAAAACAATTAGTTATAATCAATAGCCACAATGGCATTCTCCTACCAGTGTAACTAACTTCAAAGGTTTCTCTGGAGTTCATATGACTGCTAACAGAATTATGACAGTTCTTGTCTTTTTAGATACTAATCAAATCTGTCTCACCTACTTACATCTGGCAAGAATGGAGGTTCTAACATGTTAGCTTCCAGCCTCTTGAAGTTGATGTTCTTGAAAATAGGATGTTGCTTTACAACAGCAGCTCCTCCTTCAGTGCAGCCCAGTCGTTCCCCTGGATTTTTAGCAAGTAACTGCAGATACATGGAAAAAAAAGCAGATGCATGATACAATCCCACAACTAAAAAAAATACCTACATACAATGTCCTTCAATCAGTTTATTTTGCTACTTGGCCTCTTATTAACTCAATTTATCATCTATCAAAATTAACTGGAAACCCAAACAACAACATTCTGGGAACAAAATATTTTCAACAGACAAAAGAACCCCTGAAAGCACATGATTTGAAGATTATGCCCAAAGTTATATGAAAATATTTTAATTAATGCCATGTTGAGAAGACTTTGCAGTAGGCTTTCCTTTCAGGAGATACAGACTTACATTTTTTTCCTATGGGCTGAAGTAATGCACATATCTTGCATTAACTAGTACAGAAAACTTGTGAAGCTTTCTGTATAAATTTAAGAAGAGGAGAGAGAGAGAAAAAAAAAATGGTCTTGTAGATAATGTTTAGGTGAAGAAACTGGTGAACTACTCTGCCACTTGTTCCCATGCAGCATCCAAGCTGCTATTGCACTCCATCTATAACATCTATAACAAGTGCTCCAAGCAGTACTAGACCATTTCATTCATGTCACGAATAATCAATTTATGCAGCTTTCCATCATCTTGAGAAAAGTTCTGAATTCATGAAGTTTGGTAACTGAACAATCACAAACTCATGAACAATCACAAACTTTCATGTGAACTAAAGAAAGGTTTAGGAAATCCCGTGCTAAAAATTTTTCAAGATTTTAAAATAAAGTAGTTGGTCTCTTTAAAAGGATTAGAAATTTGATTTTCAAACCTCTATGTCTCTTCACCCACCATCCTGCAGATGGATTTTGCCTCCTCTGAAAACTTGTCTGAGTATGTTTCCTGGTCCTCCTTGACTCTGCGGTCAATCTCATCACGTTTAACTCTTTCCTTATGCTTCCTGAATGGAGACTGTCCTTCAATCATCTCATAAATCAAACAGCCAAGGCCCCACCAATCTGGACTGAACGTGTACTTCTCGTTTTTGAGCACTTCTGGAGCTACAAAACAAAAACAAACACACACCCACATCATTTCACTTTAAATTGACTAATTGGGTGTATTGGAAAAACTCTCAGGTACTCTCTTTAGGCCCTGTGCAGACATGTTTGTGTGGCTCCTCTGTACTTTGAAGAAACTTAAATTTCTACAGTGAGAACTCTGTTTATATTCAAGAGAAAAACTTAATTTCTTGAATGCTTAAAACCAGTATTCTTTAGAGAATGAAAAAAAAAAAACAAAACCCAAGAATGAAGTTTTCCAAAGCATGGAAAGAAATGTATTGTCACAGTAATTTCTCTGTTTATCTGTGACCATAAATCTCTTTGAATCTCAGAAACAATTAGGTGCTTTGTTAAAGTTCTGCCTAAAGCTGGAGTTTTCAGTTAAGTTTTCAAGTTTATCAGTAGGCTTATAATTAAGTAACATCTACAAATGCATATTATAACCTTTCTTCTTCCTAGAACATGTCTAGTAACTAATCCAGGTCCAATACAGTTCTTATATTCACAGAAGCAAATTTTCTGGTAAAATGTAACAAGCAAAGGATGCTTTACATACCCATGTAACCAACAGTCCCAACACGTCCTCGCACAGTTTCACCTTCTGGAATCTGCACAGCTAAGCCAAGATCTGAAATCCTGATATGTCCTATTTATGTTAAAATAAATTATACATAGTCAGCTAATTAATGGAGTAAAATAATGAAGTACTATCACTTTTAAAACAAAAAATTTCTATTGCACATCTCATAAAAAACCCCACTGCAAAGTATCAAAAGATTCATATAGTCCTAAGTTTATTTAACTTAACTTGAAAAGAGTGTTTTATTCAGCTCCTCCTTAAAAATGTGAAGAAAGAGAGGCACAGATATAACTGATATTCTGAAGGTCATACAAAAATAATTTGCTCTTAAGCACTCTAATTCCTAGCTTTGGCATAGGCTACTGTTCTTGGACAAAGAGAAATGCTCATTTCAGATTCTGCATCTATGCATCAGACACTTGTGGTTTTCCATTCTGCATACCCACCACAAGCACTTAGCTTTCTGACTCCTTAGTAAAACTTCAAAATTAATTTATTCCAAATGTGAGAAAACTGTAGCCTGTACTGAGAGAGCTTGTTTTCCTGTAATGAAGTACCCCAATAATGCCAAACATGAGTGCTTGGAGTTGCTGTCCCCACTCCCACCCCAAACCAAGAGCAGCCCAGTCAATAATCCACTCAGAATTATTTATATGGTAACATGTCAGTTCAATTCTGGATTTCCTCTTCTCATGAATCACTCCTAAGTGGAAAACAGCTTTTACTGCATTTATCAGCCAAATGTCTCAAGCTGACCTTCCCCTATCACACGTTCCCTTTAGAGCTGTACCTCTAACAGAAATCACCTGGCAATACACAGGTTTGTCATGCACTGCTCAGTGGGGAACAGTCCAAGCAGGGCAATGGGACTAAATCCACCCCACTCTCCCTTATATTCCCATGGATATTCCCATTCTTTGTTGGATAGACTCCTGAACTGTTTCAAGCACATTCAAGACATTTCAAGGCAAGAACTGTATTGACATTTTAATGTAAAAACACATAAGGTACTTTCTCAATAAAAATGTAAAAGTCTAGACAGAAGAAAGGACAATTACATTTTCAATTCAATTCTAAAACAATTTTGTAGAAAGATTTGTTGCAAAAAGGAAAAAAAGAGCAAAACCCACCCTTATTTCTAATACTGGTTATAAGGACAGGGAAACTGTTGTTTACAGAAACATCACAGACTCACAGAATGATTCAGGCACTCACAGAATGATTCAGGCTGGCAGGGACTTCAGAAGGGCTCTGGTAAAACCTTCTGAGCAAGCAGGCAGCCCAAGGTGATTTACATTATTTAGCAAGCCTCCAAGAGTGGACACTGCATCACCTCTCTGGGTAGCCCATTCCAATGCCCAATTAACCTTTGTGCACATATGCTGTGGCATTCAAAAAGCTCTACAGCATCAATATTAGTTAATTAACAGCAGATTAATTTCTTATGTACATGTGTTAGATAATCAGGGGATAGAGAGAGAGGGAGAGAGAGAGAGAGGAGAAAGTCAAGTACCACTCTATATACTGGTTGGAAATAAGGTAATGCTCTGGAGCAGCAAATGCTATTTTAAATACATTCAGATGCTCTTGTACTCCCTGACATCTGATGAACTCCTTTTTAAGTGCAAGATCTGAGCTCCTGAAGCGATTTTCTAATTAGTCTCCTGTGCTCTCTGGAACTAGATCAAAATATCCCTGGCAGAGAGGAAGCATTCTAGTGCAGTCCTGCAAGGCTACATTTTTCCTCAAAGAAGCCTTCAGCTTTTCTAAGACATTGCTGGAGAGAAAAATTAAAGAATGCATTTGATGTTTAGCAAAGCTTTAGCTCTTGGAAAGTGACTCCTCTCAAGCATCATCTTTTTTGAAATTTATCAGTCAGAACATGCTGACTTTAAAAAAAATAGTGTGCTAATGACTTCAAAAACAGTTTTTCCTCAACTAAAATGCTCAGCAGTTACAAGAACAAACTTGTAATATTAATCCACAGCTTAGAAGAGAATTCCTGCACATGTTCCACAGTCAATTCAAAGGATTCTGGTAATGACTTGCATACAAAGTCATTAAAGAGAATTAATTTGGTTTTTGACAAACAAAAGACTACAAACATTTCTTCATATTGTTTGTACTGCCTTGATTCCTTCCAGCCACATCTGCATCAGAGACCATCAGACCTCTTTTAGTCAAAATGTTAACAGAGAAATAGCTCAGATTTCTTCTTACTGTCTAAACATTCTGGTTTACTTAGTAAAATTCTGCCCCCCCCATCTAACAAATCATGTTTCCATAATTGAAGAAAAGATAAACAAAACAAATCCATGTAAAAATTTTAGTGATCTTAAATCAAGAGGAGGGGGAAAATGAGAAGCAAAAGGGAAAAAGTAACCATTTGAAGGTAGAAAATTGACCCTTCAAACATAATCATGGTTGACCCCAAAATTTTCCCCTGCTTTCTAAAAAGCAAGGCAGTATTTTCTTTGCTAAATTAAGATTCATCAATTAGGTCTCTTTTATCATTAAGAAATTCCTTACATTTCTGGCTTGGTATTAGAGGTATAATTCCTGATTTCAAATATAATTTTAATTTTTACTTACCACAGTCATCAAGAAGTATATTCTCAGGCTTCAAGTCTCTACAAATTCAAAAACAGAAATGTGAATTAAACAAGGACAAAACTATTAGCCCTCAAGAGCAACAGATTCAACAGAAGATTTCTTGGTTCTGACTGAAGCAATTTTTCCAGTTCCACCTATAAACAAAAAAGCTGTGAAGTTGATGGCCTATAATACAAATAGTTTAACCAGAGAACTAGATCCACTGTCCCTGAACTCTTTAATCCTCTTTAATTTCCATTCACATAACTATCTGATTTACATTAACAAAGGCAACACAACACTAAAAACCTGATATAAAGAACCAGTATTTACAACCAAATTTGTGCTCATAAGTGAACAACATTTCTCCTGAGGAGTATCAGCTTTACAACTCCCCAGTGGTAAAATACAAGTGTTTGCTGCACTTTGATGCTGACCCCTTGCTATATTTCACTCAATTTCTTTAACTGGGTCATGCAACTTCTAAAGCTTCCTAGACACTTCACCTAGTTTAGATTCTTTGCAAAAACTTTCTAGAAATTTCCTATTACTTTTCTGTAAACATCAAAGTTTCACAAACAACATTTTTTAACTATTAAATGATAGCAAGACTCAGGAAATACTAAAAGGGCAATAAATTCAGCATTGCAATTTTGCACCTTGTGCATTTTTACTTATAGAACAAAAGAAAATATTGTATGGAATGTTTGAATTTTTCTCTGCTCAAGGAAAATTTGGGGAGTCACTCAAGCTGAATCAGAAGTTGTTCTAGGATTTATCCCCTAGCAGATTCTCCTGAGGATATACACACATATTTATAGGCATGAAAATTTGTATAAAATGTATAATGTACATTATTATTTATAATAGTGCACTATAGATTGTTATAATATATATTGTTAATTTTTTATGGTTATTTTTATATGTGTGTATTTCTGGTTTGCATCAGTAAGCATGTGGACTGAGACAGTCTCTTAGATTTATTCCACCATAAATATAAGGCAGAAATAGACACATAAAACCCAGTAGTTGGCTAAAGAATCAGTTCTTGGAATAGATTCTTAAAAACAATATGGATCTATACATATATACATACAGTTGTGACAAGAAGAAGAGTCTGAATAACATAAAAGAAAAAATTTTAGGAAGAATGACTCTAGAGTTGACATTCAAAAAGAGAGAAAACTGCTCACCAAGAAACCTAAGTAGGGTTTTCCCCCCAAATATTGGTTAATTGATGTTCTGTAATATGTGTATTCATGGTAAAATTTCATTATCTTATGAGATTAACTGTACACAAAAGTCATAAAGATGCTCTGCTTCCCATGGTTTTAAGTCTCAACAATCCCCATAATGTTAATAAATGGACATTAAATACAAGATTACAATAGCAGAGAAAGCAGGAGAGATCAGAGGTAAAAAGAACTGAAGAACACTAGGATTTGACATAAGAGTTTGAAGGTTGTCTTGCAGGCAAACAGCTAACAAGCTGGGCCTAAACACAGGGCTGTGGTTTGGGGTCTTTTGTGTTGTTTGGGGTTTTTTTGTTGTTGTTATTTTGTATTTTAAACAATCAGTTTTGTTTTCATTTGAACAATGTAAAATGACCTACTTGTAGCTGATGAAATGTCTCACCCCTGCGTCCCTCCTATGTGTATACCAAAACACAGGGTGTAATATTGCAAGATTGGCCAAATTCTCTAGGGAGCCACATCCAACCACCAGCAGAAGGCTGATTCACTCTGGCTCTGCCACTTCCCACTCTGTGTGTCTGTGTGTGTGACACTTGGTGTTACACAGCACAAGTATAAAAAAAGCATTCTTGGTCCACCACTAAGTTTGTTTTGCTTGTTCTGTAACATTAATGCATACCAGGGGTTAAATGATGGATGTACAAATACAAAACAGAGCATTAAAATAATACAATCTCAATTTCAATGCATAAAGCTTCTGATAGTTTCATTCATTTAAAGAAAATAATAATTTTATTGGAGGAATCTGAAATTAAAACAGAAGGAGGAGCTTTTCACATGAACTATGACTACCCTGTTACCCTTGTGAGTGTAACATGCAACACAGCCAGGGACTTCTAGACCCCTCTGTGAGCTACTTCAGAGTGGGCAGGAATACAATGCCATACTCCTAAAACTTATGTATTAAAATTATAAATTAATTTGCTTTGTAAATCATAGTTTCATTTCATTTTACAAACAAACCTTGAATCAACTTTATTCTTTTAAAATATATCAAGCATCAAGACCTAAATCAACAGCAAGAGGACATAAGAGATATATTCCTAGGGATATGCCATGAAAAGGATAACTTAACAATATTTTTTTATTCTTTTCCTACAAAATTAAAATACAAACTTGTTTTAGTAGGAAACAATTAATATGTTCAATGCTGAAGAGACATGGAAAAGTACAAGTGTAGATGACACTCAACTCACCTGTAAACAATTCTCTCCCTTTGCAAATCCTCCAGACCACAGCAGAGCTCTGCAGCATAGAAAATAGCCCTTTCTTCATCAAAGCCAGGATTCCCCATGTTATATATGTGAAACTTCAGATCCCCTCCATTCATGATGGTTAACACTAAACACAGGGCATCTTTTGTCTCATATGTATAGGATAAACTAACCTAAAAATGGGCAGGGTGAGAACACAACCATTAATCATTCATAAACCCCAAAACAACTCACAGATCTTTTTTCCAATACAATCAACTTATGAATCCTTTTTGGAGGCAAAAAGAACGAAACACACAAGTGGAAAATCACTCTTGCAGAGTACTGGAAGCCACAAAGGAATTCAGACTCATTTGCCTGTGTACACAAAGCATACACACAACACAAAAGCTTAGTGGCAGATCTGTTTAGATACCCAGAAAATAAAGTTATTGATGATGCCCCTCAGCTGCATGTTACCTGCATTATTCTTTGTCCTCTTTCTCATACTCAGCATGAGAACATTCCTTATTTTATTAATATCTCATGAATGATGCACTGCCAAACCATCTTCCTGAACTACGAGACTCAAAACTGCCCTAGAAGAACTCAAATGATTTTAAATCAAAGGTATAGTTTCTATTCCTACCCCTGCCTCCCTCCCAAGTAACTGCCCATTTCCCTCATTTAGAACTTGCCAACAGTAAAGACTCAGTACAACTCCTTACAATCTTTCTTCTCACTGTACTTGAAATGTGGAGTTGATAGGCAAGGACAAAGCACCACTTTTTTTTTCAGGTTTTGGGTAAAAGTTTTTTAAGTGTATCTAAAGTTTTAAAGTAGACTTGTGAATTAAAAAAAACCTCCCCACTTAACACAGTGTAATATACCACAAAATTTAACTGCTTAAGTTACAAATTCATTTTCAATAGAAAAAGTTATGCTATGCAGATGGATCATCTGGTAGGATCTTCAAAATTACCTAACTTGTACTAAGAGCAATGGAATTCAAACATACTTAGCTTACATTAGATAAACTAGCTAGGTAAAAAAAAAGTAGGGTGGGTTTTTTTAAACTCAAAAAATTATTTTAAATGCAGTGCAAGTAAAAAATTGTTTTAACTCAGTAATAGATCCAAACCCTTCAGAAGTGTAAATACAATACTAAGTAATAAAACTAAATAAATACAGAAATCAGCTATTCAAGGCAGAGCTTCCCATTTGATGGTTTTAACTGCTGTGTCCAGCTGTTTATGACTGTACTTGTGACAGAGGCATGACAAGTTATCTGCCCACTTCAAAACCAGTATTACTACAAATGCTAGACCTAGATCTTCTCTGTTGCATAAAAACCACCACTGGATAGCAAGAAGAAAACAACTCATGCTCAATTTTATAAAGCAATTTCACATTCAATTTGGATCAGTTATTGATTTACAGTGTTTACATATGCTGAAAAAAATGTTACTCAGAAATAGAAGTTTCACTGTTTTAATAATTTATGGATAAATTCAGGTACTCTCTGGATTCAGTTTCAATCAATTTAAGCCCAGAAGCCTTGTGCAAAAATAACATTAGCATATTTATGCAAAACCATAATTTACAATAGTTTAAAATATTAATGTGTCTGGCCAGCAAGTTCTTAATTTTTCTTGTAGCTGGCAGTATGCTATAGTGGTTTTTTTAATACATAAAACTTATCAGAAAATACATACATACAGATTTTATACACATATATTTATAAATAACTTTCACTATCCTCTAAAACAGGTACTTTAAAATCCTCTGAACAGCAATACAAAATTTATAAGTAAATGGATTTCAAACCAAAGCAAAGTGTATTTGAAATTAACATTTAAATGACATTTCAATTAAAAAGTAAACATTACCTGGGGAAAGTTTTACTTGGTGTATCTTTGAACATTTTAACTTCTTTCACTGCTTAGTAATTAGAGCTACTAACAGAGCATAATTTACATAATTTACAAATGTTTAGGTATTAAAACTAAGATTTCCATTACATGGAAGTTCCATTAAAAAGTTAATTGTTTCACATCCAAGATACTGCTTTAAGCCTTGGTACACAGCAAAGCAATATAACCTGAATCAATACAGTATTAAAATGTCATGTTTATCCTAAAATATATCAGCAATGGAGTAACAAATGCCATGAAAATACCTCAGGATATAAAAACTCAACCCTTAAGCAGAGGACAAAGATTCAGTGGCATCAGCATGCTGAACCACTGCCTAATGTTCTGGCTGTCAGAAATAAAGCAGGTGGACCAAAAATAATCCTTGTGCACTGAACTATTCCCAATCACACACAAAATGTATTTATTTATTATTGTATCAATCATTCCTCTCATGCACTCCTTACATCAATTTTAAAAAGAGTTTTGTGCCCACAAGCTCCTGGAAGAGATAAATGAAGCAAACAAAACAAGATAAATTTCTGAAAATAGAAAGTAGATACTTACTACAAACCTACTATTCACTTTTTCTAGAATCCTTTTTTCATTTAGAGCCATTGATTCTCCTTTCCTCTTCTTTATTCTCTTTTTTTCTAGCTTTTTGCAAGCATACATTTTTCCTGTTGCCCGTACTTGACAGGCACACACCTACAAAAAGAAGAATAGTGTGTCAGAGATGCTTGAGGCTTTTTAGAATTTTTATTTTAAAGAAAATTAAATTTAACTTTCTTTTCAAACTCTTTAATGCTGTCAGAAAATTATGGTCTGTAACTATCAATACAGAACCTTTGCTCATGAAACAACTTTAAAGATTCACAAAAACTGTAACATAGGTAGAAAAAGTGATTATACAGAGGCAACCACATTTCTTTCCAGGCTGAATAGTTTAGCAAAACTGTGGATCCCGTGTTAGTGAAACAAGTGACTACAGTAACAGTGCTAAGTGTCCTAGTATGTGTTAAGGACAAATAGTCACATCACAATAAACCAGGAGAAAGATAATGGTAATTTAGTTGCATTCTCCTTCCATATAGGGCTTTGGTTAAAATATGTACAGAGGCAGTTCAATAAATTATAAACAGAATTATTAAAATCTATAGATTTTAAATTAGGTTCATGAATATTCTAATAATTAGCAAATTGCAACTAAATTCTCATTTCCCAATGAAATTTCGAAATAGAAGTGACTGTTGTCAGTCACTACAAGTTTTCTGCAGCTTTGTGCATGACCCACAGTGCTTTAACACATTAAACCAGTTTGTATTGACAACAATTTGCCAGGTGATGTGTCAAAAGTAGATGGATAGAGACAAGAGTTAAACAGACCCCCCTTTTTGTTTGATTCCTTAAGAAGTGCCTTGGAGGAAGATACTTCTGTACTCACCTCTCCAAATCCACCTTTGCCTAGTACTCGGTAATGCCTAAACGTGTGCTTGGTTACTGGCTGCCTGATTAACAGAAAGAAACAATCACTGCAACAGGAATTACAAATGTGAGCAATCCCTCCCCACCCCGAGGTCTGTCTTCATTTTCTCCTTTCTGTTCTGACGCATTTCTGAACAGATGTTGCCTTAACCTCGTGTAGAAGTACTATAATGAGCTGAATTGCAAACAAAAGGGGTGCTTGCTAAGAAACGTGGGCTCCCTCATCTGGTCACCAGGCACTGCCCAGAGCAGGAAGGAAAGCTGCCCAGGCCGGCCCTTCGCTGCCTCAGTTAGAGCCTGACTGCTCCCAGCACAGGCCATTATCACCTCCTGCTGCCTCCCTTCATTGACTCGCTGACACCAGACTGCATTTCAGTGGCATCATGCTGACAATGTGGCATTTAAAAGGTAAACAATTTCTGATTTCACTTTGCTTTTTACTAAAGAAAGAGTGGTGGTATGCAAGAGCAGCTGAAGAGCCAATTTGTTAGGGTACTGATGCAGAGGAGGAGGAACAGATAACTGGAGGCAGTAGAGCTGTTGATCCCTCTGTGCTAAAACTCTCCTAAATGTGTCAAGCAGGGCTATGACAAGGTACTGGGTTTTCCTGTGTTTGCTTTAAATGAGCACTCACTGTTACTGCAGCTTTGTTCTCAGGACAACAGTGGAGTTTCATTTAGTAGAAAATTTGAGTGACTTCCATAGTTCTCTTATTGGCTTTTGCAAACAATTCAGTAAAATAAAGACATTGGATAATTGGAATTTATCCAAGTGCTCAAGCACCTTAAAGTTTGAATATGAGATCACAGTACCCAGGGGGTTGAATTTGAATCAATTTGTAAGAATTTCAACCTTCTGAAAGAGTCTGGACACTCACATAGTATTGATTTGAAAGTATTACATTCTGACACATACATGTAAATCTTGCTATCTTGTAGTTACTAGATCTGTATCTGTACCACCCTAAAAAACCTAGTACTGATCCAATTACCTAGTGGGTTGTAATACTAAATTAATCTGTTTATTAACCACTCATTAGACCAAGTTTGAAACTAAAGGATGATAGCATTCCCAAGAAAGATTGGTATTCCACTGCACACTTGACAGCCAAATATTTCTGAATTTGCATTTACCCAATACCACTTAAAGGTTACAGACAGACAGTTCCATTGCAGTATTGGTTCTCCTGCTATCCATCAACATCATCCTTTACATCTTGTCTTTTCAGATCATAATTTCTTAGACAGGCAGTCTCATTTAGCATTCAGCTTTACAGCATTTCCAGCATAAAAATCAAAATTTGCCACAAAGCAAAGCTAAACTATAATGTAAACATTATCCATAAACTTACTTTTCCAGCCATTTCCACTGTAAGAAACGGGAAAAATACACACTCTCCTGGTAAGCTTCAAAAGGTCTTTTGCTCAGGTATTCATGGACAATTCTAGCAGGAAAATAAACAGAAAAATAAAATCCATCTTATTCTGAAAAAGGCTGTTGAAGCAAGAGGTGCTAAAAATCTGTAGACATATATTTAAACATATCAATGAAGCTGTAGGCACAAAAACATCACCAGTGTGCTCTACAATGGTTTTAACCTAAATGTCTCACAAAGTGAGACAGAAAACTGTTACAGAAAACTGTTCTGTCAAAACACTTATGAAGGCCAAACTACTGCTACTTATAGGAACTAGACACTTTGACCTCTGCATTTTCATTGTCTTCAAACCCACTTAAACATCAGCTTCTCAGCAGCTTTTCATGCATGTATGACCCTGCAAATATGAACTCTGAAAGTATCTACAATGCTTCATGCATTCTTTGGAGACTGGTAAATATTTTTTTTTTCCTAGGATTTGAAATTGAAGCACTAAATGCCATATCCAAACCTTGAACACCAAATACCTTATAAGAAATACACCAAGATGGAGGTGGGGAGGGAAAGAAGTCATTCAAACTGTAGTCAGGTGTTTATTGGACAGGGGAAAGGGGATGATCTACATGAGACACTCCATTTGAGACATGTTTTATGAGCTGTTCTCACACAGCCCTTTCAATCTTATAATCTCAGCTTGTTACAAAGCATGCTTATTTCTGTTGCCAGGGAGATGACCCAAGCAGTGACAAAACCTGTAGTCATCCTTCAGACATGATCAAGCATGCCTTGAAGAACCAGAAATATTAGAAACAGAAAGGCTTTAGAAAGACATGTAACACTCATAAACATGTACCTTCCCTCCCCTGCTACTACTGTGTGAAATATCACTTCATGACTGCAGAACAAAACCAAGTTGTATTCTTTTGTGTTAACTATTACAAGTGATCCTCTAATCAGTCATCTTAATGGCATATAAGTGTTGGCCTCAGTTAAACTTGTTTTCAAGAACCTTAAATGTCTAAAGTTGTTCAGAAACCTTTCAAGCTTCAACTTATAACTTCATATTTTTCTGAGGACCTTCATAATGGAAGAGAGTCTCTCAAAAAGTAAGAATACAGTAAAGAGAAATATCATTTATCTTACAGAATTCTTGGTGTCAGACAACCAAGTGGGATTTTATGCAAAAGCAGCATTAAAGAAAAAGCTCTGCAAAAGTCAAACATCTAAATCACATCTGAAGGAAACCTAGTCCTCTAATAAATCTGTTCCAAATTTTTTACTTTACTTACTCATTTCAGGGACTCAGTACTTCTGGGTATAACAACTTCATATTTCACTTTCCTTAGAAACACATAAATTTCTCTTGTAATTCTCAAACTTAGCACTAGGCATTTTTAACTCACCTAGTACAGTCCATGAAAAGATCCTTAGAAGGGTTCTTTTCCAGTCTTGCTTTACATTCATTTACTGTTTCTTGAGGTATTTCTGGCAAGTGTGCTGCAGACTTAACATAATGAAAAAGAAAGGAAAGCAACAATGAAAGCATGTAAATCAGTAGAAAAACTAAAAGTTTTGTATTCAAAGATAAATTACATTTTTTAATACAGTTAAAGGAAAGGAACAGTTTGGCTAAAGAGAAAATCAAGAAAGTCGTATTTGAGCAAAATTTTTATTTCTTTCCTGTTACAGAACAATGCATTGAAAGTTATTTCAGTTATTTACTATTTCAGTATCTGGGGGAATAAACTTGGCAATAAGTCAAATTTCTTTTTCTTTCCATAAGTCTACCACCAAAAAAGCAAGTCATCTCTTTGGCTTGGCAGGATGGAAAGAAGGAGAAAGAAACACAAACACAGGCTGGGAAACTATTTCAAACCAGATCAAAGAAACCTGGGATTTTTTGAAAAGTGTACGTGAATTACGGTAGTCCCAAAGAAATTCTCAAAAAGATGTACAAATTAAGATTCCATCTGCTATAAGGCATCTTCAAGGCCTTTTGTATAAGATGACCAAAGCAAGAGAAGCAGAAAGAGCATCTCTTCATAAAATTAAATATCTAATTATATACACACAGAAAAGCTTCCCCTGGATACCAAGAAAAAACCGCTTGATAAATGTAAAAAATCAGCTACTAATGATTACCATGGAAAACAAAGTAACAAAATGCTGCAGAAGAAAACAGCATTTCACTTTGTGAAAACTGCAGCAATTCTGAAAATTTACAGCAAACAACCAAGGCCACACAGGAGTCTAAAAGACTTCAGTATGACAATACACTGAGTTAATTTGTTTTTAAATTTTCTGTAGGTGTTAAATGGAGAATAAATTGTAATTGTAGTAGTTATATAAAAGCAGAGATCAGTCAAGGTTTCTGCTCAAGTTGATTGAGCAGAATTTTAGAAGGCAGCACACCTCCCAGAAAGACAAAAATGGGATCAATGAAGTTTGGAAGTCAATTTATAAAAACACTGCAACCACTTAATATCTCTCTATTTATCTGACACTTACAAAGCACTTGAGGACATTTCTGCAATATATTTACCCCATTGGTGAAGTAGGTCTCTAAAACTTTGAGGCCACAGTCTATGCGCTTTTCATCTGAAGATACCTCATATTCTGCCTAGGGAAATGGAATTGAGAATTTCATTATGTTCACAGTCACTTGGCATCTTTTACATGATGAAAGGTAAATCTTATCATGAATAACACAACACTCCTGGTATAAAAGGAACAGAAGGCTATAAAGTGAAACACGTATGAAGAGCAGTCCTCAGGGAAAAAACAAAGCATATGGAATTTAATCTTTGGAAAACATACAAAACCTAACAATTAGTCTAAATGCAATTACAGAAATTGCATCCTAGAGGTTAAACTAGATCAATTAAATAGTATTTATGTAGTGTTGTGGGACAGAATGACCCAGATGGAAAATAATCAGGAGTACAATAATCAGCTTTTACTTCACTGTACTTTTTTCCCTTCATGTGTTATTCTTTGCTTCAGTTTGGGGTAAAACCAGGATAAAACTACTTTCTACAAGGTTATAAATGAGATCCAAACCAAACCCTACATCATTCTTTGAAAAAATAAAATTGATTAGATACAAATTTTGAAAGTTTTTGACTTAGTAACATCTGGTACTGAGATGAAGAAAAAGAGAATTGTGTAATACAGTGCATTTTGCAGATAAACAACTGGCAGCTGAACAGAGCTCCAGAAGTAGCTACTTATGGAAAAAATCCGCAACCAACAGATCACCACAGAGATACTACTACTGACAAACTCCAAGAACTACTTACTATGAATAATTTTATGGAATAATCTAGAAGCAGACATCAGAAGTTACAAGACTTAAAGAGAACCCAAAATCTGGGGAAAGATAAATTAGAAAAGAGCAATCTCAAACAGCAACATATATTAGATTTGTTAGCTGGGCCAACTCAATCAAAGCTTATTTCATATTTCAGGATGTAAATGCGTGCACCTAGGAACAAAGAATACATGGCAGACTTCCAGGATGGAGAACTGTATCAAACAAAACAACAGTGGGGCTTATTGAGACAACAATCATTAGAAACCTCATTGGAAATTACAAGTAATTGATGTAATCAGAAGTTATTTACCTTTATAAAGAAAACTAGAACACTACAAAATGACAGTCCAAGAATCAAACACACACAATACTGGAAATAATGGAATTCCTGATTTCCAGTTCTGCCATTAATGACAACTAATCAACCCCTGACTCAAGTCACCAAGATCTTTTTCTACTTCACCTGCTTCAGCACACTACTCAAACCCATCAATCCAAATGCAAGCCAGAACTTCTGCTGTTCAATTCCACAACAAAAAGTCTAATGGTAAGGAATTCTTCTGCAACTGCTAATCAACCTGAGCAAGTCAGAAAAGTTTATCAACTTAAAGTTCAGCAGTGTGCTTAGCATCTTTAACACTAGTTTAATACAATTAATTAGGCACACTGTTTTAAGTGGATAGTGTAATTTAAAAGGAAGTTTGAGAGGTGGCCTTTCCAAATAATTCTGTTACTTACAGGGAAGTCTGAACTGTCTCTGATTGCTTTTCATATGTGAGTAACCCTGTCCCTAGCTGGTGAAATGAGTCACTAGATTGGATAACTCATTCCTCACTTTAAGTTCTGTCATTTACATTCAATTATTTCACAACTCTTCTTTCTGTAAAGCCAAGCTGACTCCAGACTTTTAGGTCACGCCTTCCCAAGAACTGGACCTTACCAGACTCAGTATTCAGTACAGTAGACAACACAGCATTGGTACCACCTTGATTTGGTACTCCTGAAACAATCACACTGCTGAAATCACATTGCTTCATGTAAAAGAGTCAGAAAACTTTAGTAACTAAGATGCAAGGTTTTTAAGGCTATGACATTTCATTTTGGGATTTTTTTCCCCAAAAGAATAAGTCTAGAATTTCTTTAACATTTTAAAAAGCTAAACTTGGCAAAAGCCAAGGCAAAAAGCACACAGCCTCAGCTTTTGCTTCCTGTATTGCCTTACTAAGAATACCAACCAAAGAAACCCCTCAACCCCTAAAAGATCAAATCTTGCTGAAATCTGGTGCTGAAGTCCACAAAGGGAATCAGGCTAACTCAGGAACCATCTATAAGAGATAGCAGGTATTTTATCTCACATCCTTGGTCAAGACAGGATGCTAGTTTCAGATCAGAGAGTCACCAAAGGTTACCTTGTTTCAACAATTCCCAAGAATAATTCTTCCTCCTGATTTTTCAAATGGAAGTTAAACAACAAATACAAAAAAGTAAATTGTGAAACCATCCCTTACACCAGATTATCTGAGCTATGCCATTCTTTGTTAATTCACAGAAGTGTTGCAATCCACACAACATTATAGGCTGCATATTTCAAAACAGTTCAAATTTTTCAGTTAGTGAAAAACAGTTACTTCTTAGAGACAGTTTTACCTGAAAATAACATCTGTAGAGCAAGGACACACCTGCCTTACAGTCATGACTAAGATTGATTCTCTTTTGTGCTGCCAAGGATTTTGCTACTCCTTATCTAAGATATAAGGATTAAAATGTGTACAGAAGCTGTAACCATTAAGGGTAAATCCACAGTTGCCAGTGCATGGCACTCATTAAGGGCTCTGGTTTATGTTTATATTTATATTCACTTTAGGAATGAAAGCTCCACTGTTCTGGAGGTCCATTCAATCCGTTCAGTCTCCAACTGTCAATCCAGTCTCTGGAATATGGTGCTCAAACAGCTCCTGGGAGTCACAAAAGTGAAACTCACCTGGGGAGTAAGGCCAATTGCACACAGATTCTTTGACAAATATAAACAATTCCACCTATTTGACACTCAATTCTTTTTTAGCTGATCTAGTGCCTCAGATTTTACTATGAAGGGGGAAAGAAGATACAGTGAAATAGGAGGCAGAGCAATAATCCCATGTACATTCCTTACACCCTGCATCTTCCAGAGCCATCTTACATTCCAGTACTGCAGTCTGGGATGCATGCAAGCAGCAGCATTACCCTACTTCTGTCTTCTTTGGTCATTTGTTCTCTGCATGTAAGAACAAAAATGGCTGGACTGAGAAAACCTGTTCTTTTGTCAGCAATCTCAGTTTGAGACTGTGTCTTATTGCTCTTGGATTAACTGTGAGGAACAAAGAATCAAAAGCTCTGAGCTGTTCTCTTAAGGGCTGTTTTGTGCCTGCCTAATCTCCTCCCTACTTTCCCCCTCCCCAAGAGGGTTTTGGGCTGAGGACTTTTTGCAAAATATAGCTGTGGGCACGCTTCCTTCCTCCCTTGTTCTTCAGCATTAGATATCAAGATGTAAATATATCAAGAGCTTTTCCCTTAGTCTCAAAAGAATTGTTTTTTCTCCTTAGATGGTTCTCTAAATTTCCATCTCCATTATATAGTTTTTAATTAGCACATGCTATGTAGCCTAGGGCTTCCATGCAAGTTGCAACATTTTTAAGTCTATGTTTTTAACATTTTGAAGGCTGAGTATAGCAAGTAATATTCATAATACAGACACCCTTTCAGGCTCTAGAAGCCAAGCAGCACGTCATCCTCAAATTGCTTCTCTCTTTTCCATCATGCCCAGTTCTGTAGCTTGGGCCATACCAAGATGGCAGAGACTTCATAGTAAACATTAAACATTTTTCTTTAAGTAACAGAGATGATTTTTTGACATCCATCAGAAGTTACAGCTTTACAGTCAGCAAAGACTATGTTTTCAAGTAAACAGCATAAGGAAACAGAGGTTTCTAGAGAAAATTAATAAAATGCTTGTGTCTTAAACAGGCAAGCAGTTAAACCCCACACAGGCGCCCACTCACTGCCCCCCACTCATAACCAGAAGGGCAGAAGTGAGAAATCTTGCAGCTTGAAATAAAGACAGTTTGATAAAGCAAAGCTGCAGGTACAGGCAAAGCCAAGTAAGAAATTCATTCATTTCTTCCTGTTGGTAGGAATGAGATCTTTGGCCATTCCCAGGAAAGCAGGGCTTCATTCCCATGTATAACAGCTAGGTGGGAAATTGTAACTTCCCCCCTTCCTCTTTCTTTGCCCCAGCTTTTATTGCTGAGCACAGCACCATATGGTATGGGATATTCTTTGGGCTCAGCTGTCCTGGCAGGGTCCACTCCCAACTTCTTGCACATCAGCCTCCTCACTTTTAGGGCAGCATGAGGAACACAAAGGCTTTCACACTGTAATCCCTGTTCAGCAAGCACTAAAACATCCTTGTTCCCAACATTATCTTGGTCTAAAATCCAAAATATAGCAACATGAAATGAGTTATGAGTAAATGAGTTACAATGAAGAAAATTAACTCTATCTCAGCAAAACCAGCACAAAAATCCAACATTTACATACAAGAATTTATAAGACACTGCCTACTGATAGCCACCATCCGTTTCTCACTACTTACCACTGCATCCAGAAATTCAATGCATCTTTTCAAATCTGGTCTAGAATCACAGAACTGTCTGAAGAGAAGTCTTCCTATTGGCTGTTTGTCACAAAGCTGGTTATAGTCTCTTTCTGGAAAAAAAAAAAAAAAATCTTTATTTATTTTTGTAGTAGGATAGTCATTACTCCCATTTGAAGTCAGAAAAACATCACTCGAACATGAAGATTTTACATTAACATATTTATCAAAGATCCCATAAATATGCAATGATTCCAAAGAATAGTGAAACACTCTTCAGCCACATCTGTATTCTACTGCCTATCCCATTTACTAAAAGCACACTGAATTATATGCTTGAGGTGCATTTAGGTTAGGGTGCAAAAAGCAACCATACTGTGAAACAGCAATACCAAAGCAAACAAGATTGTTTGGAAAGAGGGAATACAAGATAATAACAGAAAACAATAAAAATATTACAAGGCATTAAGGAAAAGGGTGAAATATATTACCATCAATTTATAATGTGATTCCTTTTTCTAATTCAAAGTTTTATAAATCTATTCTTTAGGAACAGCTTCCTTTAACAAACAAGGAGCTGTGATACACTTTTTATCTTCTCATAAATCTCATAAATTTTATTTTCTCCTAAGTTCTCCATCATATTACAAGTTTAATAGCTTTTTTTTTGCTATTTAGCATTAGGAAACAAGACAGAATCCTTTCCAAACTCTAATCCTTCCCTCTCCAAGGAGAGCCTTTATTCTAGGGGACACTCACCAATGGAGCACCGAATACCCTCACAGTGACTGACAGGGGGCAACTTCAGCATCTCTTTCCATTTTTTACTACGCCCACTCCGTTTGCCTAGAAGAAAATATGAATAACATAAAACACAATACAGAGTCAGAGTAAAATTGAACATAACATTAACAGCATAAAATTAGGTCAGTTCTACACAGATGTGTCAGACTACTTTTCATGCCTAGAAAGAAAACCATCTAGAAGGATATCCAAACCAATAACAAATGTGATACAGAAGAACTTTAATGCTTTTTTTCATGTTTCATGTAGTCTTTTTCAAGACAAATTCTTCACATTTTGTCTGTGTATGTAGAACATCTCTGCAGAGAAAAGACAAAAAGCTAGGTATTTTGAAAATAAAAACCAAAACTGAAACATCAAAGATGGAACAAAAAAACAATCAAGAATTATCTCTCAACCATGGTAAATAATAGAAGAAAATAAAGTTGAGTAACAAAATACCAAGAACAAAGTTCTTAAACACATTTTTCAATAATAAAGTTGTACATAAATATTCTCTCTTTAAGGGCAGTAGTAGTAGTAAGAGTAGATCCCACTAATAAATGTGAGGGCATAGCTCAAATACACAGTATTTACTCTAGAGCACACAAGGATACCAGGAAGAGCTTAGCTGTTGTAAAATTTAGATATTTTCAGTGCTTCAGATTTCACAGCACTGGTGTTGAATTAGTATTGATTTTTTAAACTACCACAATGTTTTTCTCAGTTTCTAAAAAATCTATCTGCGCTACATTTTCCATGTTACACTGAAAACACATTTGTGTTTCAGCACATTACCCTGCCAATTTCATTTACAGAAGATATGCATACTTATCAAAAAAGCAGAGATAGACAGGAACACATACACACTTTCAGATCCAAAACATTTCTGTGGAAGAGTAATTTAGTGCTGCAAAAGTCTTGAAAAGATTTTACTAAGCTATATGATCAGATGCATTTGCACATGACAGAGCAGCAGCAAATCTGCACAGAGGCTTTCTCACCATACCAAAGCAATACACACTGCTAACCACAATGGGAGAAAAGGAAGGGAGTTACCCAATGTAACCTGAATAGAAACTAAGCAGCAAAGGGTACCAAACTCTTTCAGAAGTAAATTGGTAGGGTGAAAGGAACTAAAATCTTCAGAATAACAAAACATGTATTATTTAAAGCCCCTCTTTACCCAAACATACAGCTCCTTGAACCATTCCACCAATGCAGTTAGACCAGTCCCAGCTTGGTGCACCTTGCTTCATACCAAACTCACACCAAATTTTTTTGGTTCATACCAAATTTATCCTTGATAACAGGAATATTGACATCTTACTGTACTGCTGCCATAAAACATTCCCAACTCTAGTATCCATATAAAGATAAAAAAATAAGGAATAAAACACCTATATATATTGACTTGTGGACATTCTTTGAACTGACACCTACTCTCTAAAAAAATGCAAACTTCTGCACTTCCTTTTCTAATAATCACTTTGCAGGTCATTTGCCTTCCATAAAGTTTTAGAACACAAAATATGGAGTTTACTTCTCATCCTATATTTCAAGCAGTACCAGAACTAATAATGAGGCTGTAATTACCAGCATCATTAAAGCAAACTGTGACTACTCTAACAATATATTTTTGATCTTAAAAAGAAGTTGAACATGCTTGAAGAAAATCAAATCACACAAAACATAACACCCTTCTAACAGAAGTGAACACAAAGAAAATCAAGGAATATTAACATAGATAGCCTGTACTCATACATTGAATAACAAGGCCTGGGTATAGATTATGTGATCATGAAAAACAATGGATAGAAGTATCAGGTTCAGCCATGTCATACTAACCTGCAAGGTCCACAAAGTTAAACTGCTTCTGTTAGAAACTGCCCAGAAAGACTCAATTGTGCATGACACCACACAATCAGTACTGATCAAGAATGATAAACCAAACCCAGATTCACATCATGCTGCTGTTTGTAAAATGTCAAATGAACTGTGACATATATCAAGAATATCACATTCTGCAGCACCATCAACCCAACTCATCAAAAAGGAGAGGATGGCAAGTGCATTTTACTTCCAGTCCAACACTAAAAGGGCTGCATTTTGCCCAAATATTTGGCCAGTTACTTACAATGTGACCATTATGAACTTCATTTTACAAAAAGAGAACACATGCTAGAATGCAACTGAATTCATCATCCTACAGAAGTCAATAAAGGCTACATATAATTTATTAATGATACACAAGAATCAAGTGCTTAGCAGTATCAAGTAAATCAATGTGCTCTCACTTTTCTCTGAACTGAATGTTCTTGTATTTACAGCAAATGCAACTGTAAAAGTCTGTAGGTCCCAGTAATGTAAAGAGACATTTCTGGTAAAAGTTATGGCAGGAGGCCAATTTGTTTGTCACGTTATTCCCTAATCGCAAAATCCTTTTCCATTTCTGAGGCAGTTTAAAAGAAGGATCAAATCAAATTATAACACTTGTGGTTTGAAAGTGTCCTAATATTGATTTCAGAGCTCCTATTCTGATTCTCATTCTAAAACACTTCAGATAAAATTCTTCCAGAAAGACGAGGAGCTCACTTTCCAACAGAAGAGGCAGAAAGCCATTAGGTTAAGGTGCTTTCTGCCTGACCTCTGTGGCTCAGATCAATTACTGATTTTTGCCTCTTTCAGAAGGAATCATGGCTAAAAGCAATGTCCAGCTTGAAGTGAACTCAAAGAGAAGGGTGGGTGCAGCAATACACCATTACAGTGAGGAGAAACTTCAATTACATTTGCAGGTACACAAGAACCTTACCTTTTCCTTCTCCTCAAATTACTTCTTAAGAGTTACAATTTCAACATTTAACTCTTTCCCCATTTTTGCTTCTTAAAAAGATACATACTAAATTCAGTTAAATCAGTGCACTAGAATATGGTATGGGCAAAATGTTTACATGTTTTATTTCAGCTTTTTTTTTTTAACCTTCAGAGAAATATTTGAAAAATGTATGTAAGGCAATGCAGTTGGCTTATTCATCAGTAAAACCACAACTAGTTGCAAAAAATGAAACCGCTGTGGCCACAACCTATGACAAGAAATAAGAATATGTTTGAAGTCCTCAGATGCACTTCTCAGAGCCACAGAGATCTTCCTTGCAGACCTGACTGCAGCCTGACTCTCATTTCAGTGAGCACAATCTTCACTGAACATCATTAAATCCGTTTTCCTTGAGACAATGAATTTAGATTCTGTCATGCAGAATCCTTCTTTACTGGCACTGAGATTGTGGCAGGGAGTTTTTTGTGCCCCAGCTCTCCTGCCTGTGCAGGGCAAGCACCATGAATCTGAGGCTGAGCAGCACACAGCTCTGTAGCACCGCGGTGCACGATTGCTACAACTTCATTCTTGCAAAACTGATTCCACAAACCAGATTGTCAGATACCAGCTGAGAAATTCATACTAGACCACACCCAGATAAACTCTGAAAGCCTAAGACTGCAACAAGATGACAACCTACAGCACGCCTTTAGTGTATAAATCAAATCAATTGGTTCAAGGAAAAATGCAAAACAATTGATGCAGGAGCTCTACATCATCTACACTGAGACACATGAAAATAAGCTGGGTACAGACACTGCCTTAAAGCATGTCTTTCCCACAGCAAAGGCAGTTCCAGGCAAGTTTCCTAATAGATTCAAAACTCACATGAATTCAAATCTTCTCCTAGTTCCAGACACATTTTTCTTCAAACCACTCACAATAAGGATTAAAACCTTTCACAAAAAAAAAAAAAAAAAAAAAAAAAAAAAAAAAAATCAAAACATTCCTGTTTAACTATGACCTTATGCTATACAGGCATTTATAAACACTGCTCATTGAGTAACAAATTTTGCTTTTATGCTCTTATTGGGCAAGATCCACCTTCAAGGCACAAACCAGTGTGGAATTAATACCTCAGCTCCTCAGATCAAACCATAACACTGGAACAGCATCAAGTTCAAGCTAGAAGACAAGCTCACTCATACCATCACTTGAGGAAGGCTGTCATGCTTCTAATTCTAGAGATGGCTCATAAGGTGCTGCTGTGGGGGTTCACAACAACCTTCTCCATTCTGCAGGCCAGATGTATTTTTTCTACCAAATACAACTGGTATCAAGTTGTATTTTGACAAAATACAAGGTTGTATCAACTCAAGCCTGGTCACAGCTAAAACAACTACATTAAAGAGAGTGGCAATGCTTTTCTATGGAGAAAGGGGTTTTTGTTGCTGTTGATGGTTTTGTTTCCCCCCCAGACATATGATAAATACAATCTGGCCAGTTCTCAGTAAACTTATCAGAATCACCTGGCTGAAAATTCAGGTTTTGGCAGAAGGTTAGCACCTAACTCACCAGCATTACAAAGGCCAAGGTACTCCTGAATGCAAACAGAAGCAAAAGTGCAAGTAGTACAATAAATAAACAAAAGATATCTATAGATTACAGATCACTATGGCATTTACAAGATAATAGCCCTCACATTCCTGGATTCAAGTACATGGAGCTGGACTCAGCAAGGTAATACTCCAGCGCTCTGGCTCATCTGACTGTCAAGGCAGTAACCCAGCAGGCAGTTAAAAGCCCAGCTCTCTCCGTGAACATTTGTGCCGTTTGTTTACGTGCACAATCATTTATTGTTCCCAAGCTAACAGCACTCGAACAACTGGTTCTTCACACGGGCTCTCTATGCAGCTCCAGCGATCATGTGCACACGTAGGAATGCCAGAGCACACCCTCTGCACTTCACCAATTAGGTGTGGAATGGAAAGCCGGGATCAACCCGAGTAAATGTAACTGATCTGAGCATTTATTAATCGCTTCTTGCAGTGAAACATTCTAACATCTCTGCATACATTTCGAGATGTCTCTAGCCAGCCAATGGACAGGGTTTACAAAGGGGAAAAAACACCCAGAGCACTGCAATTTTACAGTCAACAAACAAGGAATTTTTTAGCGTGATACTACACTAAGAGTGCAACAAATAGTACAGAAGTAAAATTCCTTTAAGCTGATTGTGCAACCTCTA